TAAATATTTTAAAAATTAGAAGTTAAAAAAACTAAAGAAAAAATAATTTTTGTATAAAGATTCGGTAAATATTTTTAAAATTTCTGTATTTATACATTTCTTTGTTTATACATTTTTTCTACAAATGCTCATAAAATCAAAGCACACAAACCTGCTTCGGACTTTATTAAAACCTCCTTATTAATAATTCAATTTGATCATTTTAACTCCACTTTAATAAACAAAACAATAAAACGTAAATAAATCGCTTAAACCCCAGCAGCTTACGCCGTCTGCAATCAAACTAAAAAACCACATTACGCACAAAAAAACGAAGCCACCTTATCCACAATATCCTTGCCAAACAAAAAAAAGCCCGAAACCCCCAAAATTATGCTAATAAATCTCGACAATAATACAAAAGAAAAAATGAGCGCATATACATATGTATATGTACATACAAATGAAATCTCAACCACAATTTATCAATAAGTGCCATAAAATATGCAATACGTTTTCACTTGGCGCTGTAGACGGCAACGGAGGCTGTGGCAATGGAAAATCATATGTGTTTCTTGTATAAGTACACATGTACAGATATGTATACATTAGCGGTTAATGATAACCCAGTGTGGAGAATTCACATAACAAAACCAGGACCGAGTTCGAGCTAAAATGTATGCCCTTCACCGCGGTCTATAAACAATTGCATTTATGGAATAAAAGGAATCAGGACCGAGCACGAAATAAAATTTGTTGCTTTGAGCTTGGTCTAAAAAAAACAGAAAGAGATCATCCTAGGGAGAAAATAATGGAAAAGATTAGTCGGGACGAGCTGTTGTTGTTTTAGCAGCAGAATTACGCCGAGTTGACAGTTCTTGACCGGATAAAAATTCGGCTCCGTTCCGCCGAACTAAAATCTACGTCTATAGAAAAAAAAAGGAAGAGCATGAGTTGGACAATGTCCATGGGAGAAATAAAATCAGAAAGATGAGCCAGATGTATGTATCTAATTGAACTCGGTCTATATTCTATTGGAATTTTATATTTTTTAGG